CCAGAATTCCCCAGCCAGCATTTGCATTTGCTGGCTGGGGAATTCTGGGAGTTGAAGTCCAGACGTCTTCAAGTTGCCAAGGTTGAGAAACACTGTTCTAGTCTAAGATTCTGGGGAGAGGCAGAAAGTTTGGGGGCTCATTCAAAAGAAAGAGAGCAAAAAGGTAGCTGGAGAGAATAAAAGAGGAAGAGAGAAGGGTGGCATGGCCTGAACTAGGACACTAGGAAGGCAAGGCTCAAACCAGCGGAAGATTTGAAGGAAGTCAGACAAACAGATCTGCATTATCCAAGTCCCCTCACCCTCTCCCCTCCCAATCGAGAGGGCAGCTCTGCCCTACTAAACAAAATCGGGAGAGCGCCATGAAACAGCAAACAGCTGGCTGATCCTTTAATCCAGCTCTGCTATGCAGATGGCTCCTACCTGCTCATGGCTGCAAACCTCGCGGCAGGCGATGTTAAGGCTGGGTGTGTTCCCTTGAGGCACTCATAGCCAGTCCAGTGGCCTCTCTTCTGAGAATCCAGATGGTGACCTGTCCAGCAAGCTCACGCCACTCAGGAGCCACACTAGCCTACCCCTGGAAAGGAAGGAGAACTTTGCGTTGAGGCTCCTCAAGCAAGGAGAAAGAGGGAGATAAGGTTCTCTACATTTTTTTTTTTTTGATAGAAAATATCTGGGTCAAATATTTTTGGGGGGCAAACTAATGGTAGGCCACCATTCTAATGTGTTACTACTATTCCAGTCTGGGTTAGTAAACGTTCTGGTTACTTTAAAATGAATCACACTTTATTATTTGGATGTTGTACAAGGAAGTGATAGATAGACGCCCAAGGAAAACAAGGCCTACCATTAGATTCCCACTTATTACGGAGGATTAAAATCCCAGTTTAAAGGGGGTGGGGGGGAATAGAACATTTGCCAACTTGAAGGTAACAGCAGGACAGAGCTTAAAATATAAGGCAGTGATAACCCCTTTGTGAAACTGACCTGTATATATTGATACATATGAAATATATTGTACACCATCGAATCATGCTTTCTGAAAATAATCTGCACATAATTAAATCCTTAAGAGACAACAGTTTAGAGATAGTCAACTTGGAATACACAGATATTTTGAGTAACAATTCCTGTATGCCACACAACCAGTTAACATGGCCAGAATCATGGATTCTGGGCATTATAGTGGGGGAACCACCACAGGGTGGGTTGCTGCCGGTTTTACTATCGGTTCGCAACCTGCGGGCATTTCATTTCATTTCATTTATTAAACTTCTATGCCGCCTAATCCCGGAGGACTCCGGGCGGTTTACAGAAATGAAAAAAATTAAAAAGAATTATTAAAAACAATTGGACACAACAAGGTTAAAAA